TAACCCCTCCTAGATTTTTTATTGTGTCTCATAGATTTATGTATCCAAACTTATGCCAGTACCATAATGACTTGAGTACTACAGATTTGCAGTAATCTTCAAAGTGAGTCCTCCAACTTTGCTCTTCTTTTTCAAGATTGTTTGGGCTGACCTGGGTCCCTTGCTTTTCCATAAGAATTATGGGATCAGTTTTTCATTTATTCCAAAGAAGTCAGCTGGAATTTTGATAGGGATTCCATTGAATTTGTAGATCACTTTAGGGAGTCTTAACATTTTTAACAATATTGTCTATTATTCCATGAACATGGGATGCCTTCCATATATGTAGATTTTTAAAATTTTTGGTGATACTTCAAAATGTTCAATGTACAAATCTTGTAAATTTTTGTTAAATGTATCTCTCATTTTATTTTTAATGATGTTATAAATGGAAAGGCTGAGCTTCTTAAGGGTGGGACTATATATCAATTTGTTTATTTTTAGGATTCCTACACAGCAAATACATTAGGTTTATATTTGCTAATAAATCTATCCAAAACTCTTTCCACACCCGTGTTATAAGAAACCAAGACCCAGGTTAAGCTACCTGAACACCTATGTGGAAGTGAGAAATGAGAACCTTGTGTGGGGCACAGTGTAGATGATTCTGAGAGCTTATTCAGGATGGCTTCATGTTAATTTCTTTTAAACAATCCTTTCAGTGCATATAGCCAGATACATTAAGATCATGCCCTTTTGATGTGCAGAAGAGCTAAGACTATCATTTTCAAATAATTTCTATTGAGAATGTTTTACTTGAAATCTAATTTGCATCAATCTTTGAAGATTTATGTTTCAGGAGCTTTGACTAAAGAACACCTGTCTTTATTCAATAGCTACAACTAAATGCTCAAACAACATGTAAGAGTTTGAGCAAACTGCCCCCGCCCCATAGTGCTGGTTGGCTGCAGCTTTAACTGGAGTCAGCACTTACCTCTCCCAGTACCCTTGTGCTGATCTACTCAAAGGGGTTCATCCAACAGCTTGTCTGTAGTCTGTTGGACAAAGCCATAAAACATTGGTTTAAGGTTGCTGGATGGAATCTATTCTTATTAATATTAAGTAAGCACATATTGAGTGCTTACTGTATGATGAGAATAGTCCCTCAGCCTCACATGAATATTATTTCTCTTAAAACCTCACATATTTCCTTGTTATTACCACTTTACAGATAAGGAGACTGAGGATTAGGTCTTCTCTCTTTTGGGGGGAGCTCATTATCAATGACTGGAAGTTGTAAGGAAAAAGATATTGATTCATCCTGAGAAAACATTTTTCTGAGAGTCAGCATTGAAGAGGGTGACCACTGAAGAGGGTGATCATTGTTCCAGTGAGATGAGTCCCGGGTTGTACGGAGTCAGCATCCCTGTCCTGGACATGGCATGTGTAGAGCTGCGTGGTGGGTGAGGTGGTGCGGCCGCGCAGGGAACGCGGATGCCAGGCCGTTGGGATGTGCTCAGGCCCGGTGGGGCTTTCTCCTAAGGGCAGTGGACCGTCACTGACAGATTTTAAGTAGGAGAGTGGGGTACTCTCGTAGATCACTTTTGTGCTTGTAGAATGCTTGCAAACACTTAGTAGGTTCGGCAGGAGGTGATGTGATGAGTCAGAGTAGGGTGGATGCGACGTATAGCAGTGTTCAATTTTCAAGTGGTTTTCAGTCCCAGGTTTGTGGCTCAGCATCCGCCACTTTGGATGATGCACTCAAGGAAGTGAAACAATTTATCTAATCATTTGAAGCAGTGATGTACCAACTTCCCAGGACTGCTGTGGAGATCCAGTGAGATAACGTGTGCACAGGGTGCAGTGTGGTCCCCAGCACAGAGTCAGTGCTGAGTGAGTGCCAGTGAGTACTTGGTAAGACAGGTGAGGGTGGTGGGACTCGGTGACTGAGGAAATCTGAGCCCTGAAGGAGGGGTCCAGGCATATCTGTGAGTGATGGGCCTGAGCTGGGAGAGACAGGGAGACCTTGCCCCCTGACCAGGGGCCCTGGGCAGGACGGCTATGGGAGGAGCACCGTGAAGTCATCTCTGTGCAGGTGAAGTTGGAGGTGCCCTTGAGACATCTAAGTGCAGTGTCACGAGCTCACAGAGGATGTCTGGGCCCTGGCTGTGCATTTTCCTATAATCTCAATCCCTGAGGATGCCGAGGCATTGATCACTGAACTTGAAGACATACTTTACAGGACAAGTGTATAGTAATATCATCTCTGTCATCAAAGCTCACATCTCTTTATTCATCACTCACTTTACTAATTGGGTACTTACAGAACTCACCTCACTGCCCTTCTCTGAGCTCAGGCTCCACAGTAAAGAGCTGGTGAGCCTGCCTCTTTTCCAGCAGAAGAAACATTTAGCTGGTAGCCTTCTAAACCTCGCCAGACTTAGAATTTTAGTTTGTTGTTTTAATTCTATTTTCTGTTAGCATTCTCCTGACAGGAGAGATGTTTTACCTCATGGTCATGTTTCAATTAGCTGTTACTGAGAATTGCTGATCTGATCCATAGTTTATGTATTCCATTAACTTTGCAGAGTACTTATCATTTTTCTGTCTTTGCCCTTTAATTTTGTTTTCCCCTTCAAGTTTCTATCCTATTTGGGGCCTTATTTTTTTTTAATTAAAAATGTCTGTTAGCAGTTAAGAAAACAAAAGCAAAGAAAAAATGCACATGATAACTAAATTTAGAAAATATCTAATGTGTTTTCTGTCTTGGCAATGGAGGGTTCTAGAAACTCGTGAAAACCTTCATTACACAAGTTACTTAAAATGCTGATTAAGAAATAAAACCTTCCTTCCTCGTCTTTCAAGCTGCAATAGCTAATTGTCAAGAAAGTGAGGGGAAATCCTCAGAAGCCAAGACAAACCAGAAAGCAGGGATTCCAGGAGATACGTGAGCCTTAGAAGCCCTGGGGTGCCAGTTAGCTCCTAAACTGAGGTTCAGTTGCCCTGGTAGGAGGGCAAGAGGTGAGCCTGAGGCCTCTCACACCGGGAGTTGGATGGCTGTTCTTATGTAAGGCCAAGCACATCCTGAGAAGCCTGCTTTACCAAAGGGTGATTAAGAAAGAAAAGTAAAAAAGCATTCCTCAAGGCAAGGAAGTAAGAAAGTCAATTTTTTTGGAAGTGGGGAAAAATAACATATCCAAAGTTAGGATTTAGTTTAAAACTGTTCTGTCATGAGAGTGACAACAAACTCCTGGCAGAAAATCACAGCTCCTCCCGGAAAGAGAAGTTGTGTTTTGAATGAATCAGTGGACAGCCATTCTGAAAAAGGCCTCCAGAGTCTTCTGGATCAAGATACTGGACCCAAACTCCTCCCTTCCATGGTCTCATTTAAATACCAGAAAGGTTTTAAAGGAAAGAAGCCATAATCATAGTTTTATTTATTGACATTACTATATGCTAGGAATTCAGAGGTGACTATGGATTTGTTTCCTCTTTTATGGACCTTACTTTCTATTTGACATAGTTGGGGAACTTGGTGGAGGGTGGTGTTAGTCTGTTGCAATTTGCCAGGAGATAAGATTAAGAAAGCAGTGAAGGGTGGGTAATATTCTTAGCTGAGGGCAGTCCTGTTCAGTTGGCTTGTAATTGCAGGCTCGTTGAGTTGTCACTGGAGGGAATTGATCTTATGGAAGATGTACTTAACTCAGGCCTCTTCAGAACGGACCAGTTAACATGGAGAAAGACAGCCAAATCAGTGCAGACATTAAAGTCCATGTGAACGTGCTATATCCCTGAGCCAAAGATAGGACAATTAGGCAGGACTTCTTGAGGACAAAGGAGTGGTTTTTAAGGTTCTCCAAGAATGAATCCCAGGGAACTGGGATGGCCATTTGTCAAACTGTAACTTTGCCCTTTGGACAGTGTGTCCACCAAGGGTATTGGATGTTTATAGGTTTTCATTTCTCTTTAATACATGTCAGGTGATGAGGACGTGGGCATAAACGTTTGACACCTTGTCGAGGTGAATGGGTACCTGCCTAGAAGCGTGGGCACAGCTGCGGCTGCGTCATACATCTTGCCTCCCATTGCGCTTCCCGGCTCCGTGATCACGGCAAAGTGGCTCCTTATTGAGCTATCCGTCTCCTCTGTGACATCATAACCAAACAAAAGACTGGAGCATAATAGCTTGGCTTTGTTATTTTCCATCCATCACTTCGAATTATGATGACTGATAGTGGACCCACTTACGTTTGCAGATGATTTACAAGTAGGGCTGTCAGTACAAACCTTGTAATCCCCACTGTGTGATCTAGAGAAGAAAGTTACATTCTCTCCAAATTGTTTTCATGGACTTATGTGGGAAAATTATGTACGTTTGAATGTGTATTTCCTCTCTGAATCATCATGGCTAGAGATGAATATTTGTAGACATGGAATGAGTTTTCTGTATTTGAACTGTATGGTCCACTAAATTCTCCCCAGCTTTTTAAAGTCATCACTGGCGGGCTACCTCCAGAGTGTCCCAAAGCATCCACCATTGCCTATTCTTCAGACACTGTGAGTTTCCAAGTTGGAGAAGGCTGCTGGCTGTTGAGGCATTCTCTGGAACATGTCTGGCTGGCTGATGTGGGCTTAGCACCCAAGACTTGGCAGACAGTAACCACGATCACGTCCATTTCTGGAACACTCATGGAGGATTTTACACCTATGCTAGTGGCATACGTTATTTCATTTAATTTTCCCAACAATCATAATTAGATTTTATCGCCTTTATTAATAAGGAAACTGTCAAAGTGAGTGACGTGCAGACTTTGGACTGGAACCCGTGTCTTTCTGATCCCTGTCTCTGTTTCCTCCTCAGCCGATCCTTCCAAATGGCCAGGAGATTCTTCCTCAGTCTTCAGTTTCCTGCTGATGTTACCACTCTCTTTGTTTCTGGAGAAGAAAACAAGTCTAAACTTCCTTTCCAGTTGGAAATGGAATGGAGTTAGCGTTGGAAGCCGGGAGAGTGTCCTGTGATAAAGCGCTCTCCGAGCCACTTCCACTGGGATGTCACGTCACTGTCTGGGCCCCTTGCTCAGCCTGTGAACAGGTGACAATGTAGATGTGCTGAGCAGTCCTCCCGGACAGGGCAGTGGGTTGGAAATGGAGTTTGGGGATTTGGTTTCATTACATAGCTTCCTGAGGGTCTTGGCCTGGCACTTCAAGTGGGAGCATTCCCTGTGCCACAGGCTCATGCTCTGGGCCTGTGCAGACCTGACGTGGCCTCAGCCTGAGGCTCAGGGCCCGTGGTGATGAGGAGCATTTTAATCCAGGGTCTGCCAGAGGCTCTGACACTTCTGGGTCATGGGACTTTGTCAAGGATGATAATAATTCCTCCCCGAGCTTCAGATTTCCTTGCCTGTGATCCGGGGTTGTAATAGTTTCTGAGATGATTGTAATGATTCAGTAATGGGTGCAGCATGTGCTGGCAGAGAGCTGGTGTTTAAGGAGCAGAAGCCACAGTCACTCTGTCAGCCTCTCACTGTGTGCTCTGTGCTATGAAAGGTTGTGTGTTTGGTGAAAGTCTCGCCCAAACCCTAGGGTCTAGATGAACTGTTGTTCCTTTACTTTCCCTTCCTTTTTCTCTTTCCCTTCTCTGTGTCCCATATTTAGGTAGCAGATTCCTCTATTTCAGGGAATACGGGACTTTCTAGTAGGACAGGTGGAACACAGAGAGGTGGGGCCCAGAAGGGGTCTGGAGCGTCTGCACAGCGCTGCTTCCCTGCGTTCCTGCATCCGGTCCCGTCAGTGCACGAAGTCAGCCTTCCTCTTCCTTCCTGTGTCATTGGGTCTCTGTTTTAAGGGAAAACATTTTTTACGGGTCTTTTTTCACTTACATGTTTTGTTCAGATGCTTGTTGCTTTTCTCCCTGTGCTTCAGCATTCCAAGGAGAGAATTCAGCAGTGCAGCATCCTCTCCAAGCTCTATGAGTTGATCGGCTTCCACTGCAAGTCCGCCTTCTTCAAGCAGGTGGCCCCCATGCAGCGTGTGGCCCCTGGCATCTCGGAGCCTGGTGGGAAGGCCTGCTACTGACTCCTTCTGCAGACACTTCCTGGCTACACTCTGTCACTGGATCTGCAGGACTTCAGCAAAGGTTTTGGAACTAAAACATTGCTTCAGTCCCATTAACCATGCCTTGTTTGGGCCCTGCTGTCCTGTCTCATCAGGGTGAATTTTGATTCATTTAGAACAGGGCTCAGCAGACTTTTCTGTCAAGGGCTTGGGAGTAAATATTTCAGGGTCTGCAAACCTCCTGATCTCTGGTGCAGCTGCTCAGCTCTGCTGTTCAGACGCCAGAGCAGCCGGACAGTCCACACACCCGCAGAGCTTTATTAGCAGCGGTGTCTGTGGCTGGATTGGGTGTATGAACTGCAGTTTGTCCCCACAGCCTCCTCACTATTGACACCTGCACCATAGAGTGCATTTGTGACAATTGTTGAACCTACACTGACACGTCATCATCACCCAGAGCCCATACTTGACACTAGGATTTACACTTGGTCGTCTGCTCTCTGTGGGTTTGGACAGATGTGCAATGACATGTATCCACCATCACAGCATCATACAGAGTAATATGTCTTAGTGACCTTAAAATGCTCTGTGCTGCACCTCATTCATTTCTCCTTCCCCTCTAGCCTCTGACAGCCACTGATCTTTTAGTCTCTGTGCTTTTCCCTTTCCTAGAACACCATACAGTTGGAATCAGACAGTTGCAGATCCTTCCCAGATTGGCTTCTTTCACTTAGTAATATGCATTTAAGGTTCCTCCATGTCTTTCCATTCCTTGATAACTCATTTCATTTTAGCACCAAATAATAGTCCATTTTCTGGCTGGACCAGAGTTTATCCATTCACCTACTGAAGAACAGCTTAGTTGCTTCTGAGTTCTGGTGATTATGAATAAAGCTGCTATTAACATCTGTATGCAGATTTGTGTGTGGACAAAAGTTTCCATTTTGTCGAGTAAACACCAAGGAGCACAGTTGCCAGATCACATGTTAGGAGTACGTTTAGTTTTGTAAAAAATTACCAGACCATCTTCCAAAGTATCTGGGCCATTTTACATTCCCACAAACAATGCATGAGAATTCCTGATGCTCCACATCCTCACCAGCATTCGGTGCTGTCAGTGTTCTGCGTTTTGGCAGTTCTGACAGATTTGCAGTGGTACCTCGCTGTTTCAGTCTGCATCTCCCTGATGACAGATGCTTTGGAGCATTTTTCCATAGACTTCTTTGGCATCTAGATTTCTTCTTTGATGAGGTATGTGTTCAGGCATTTTGCTCATTTTTTAATCAGGTTATTCATCCTTCTTTTTGAGTTTAATGAGATTTTGGTATATTCTGGATATCAGCCCTTTATCAGTGTGTCCCTGCCCTTCACCTGCAGCACTGGAGTTGTCCTTTGGGTCTCAGTGGAGTGTCAGCTCTTCTAAGAGGTTCCCTGTCTTCCCTCAGCCTAAATACAGTCCTTGTATTTTTCACTTTCATTGACTCATTTTGTTCTTTTTAAATAGCATTTCCCATAATTTTTAACTACATTAAAAAAAAAGGGCAATGATTGAACACTGCCTCCCCCACCAGGCTGTGTGCCCTGTGAGAGCAGAGGCCCTGTCCCCACTCACCGTTTCCCATGACAGCACATGGCACATGTCCATGTAAAAGTGTGTAACATGGGGCCAAAACCTTATGAGCAGCTATGATGACAGGTTTTGGCTACCATTTATTGAGTAGACTTTGTTTCTGATCTTAATTATTAAATCACATGAATGAAACTTGTTTGTTTTGAAAAATAAAACAACAAAGCACACCTCCATGTGATTGGTAATTTCTACTTAGCCTTCTGACCTAGGAGGGGATGTTCACCATCATTTTGTGGAGGAGGTTGTGGAGGTAAAGTAAAAGAGTGAGATCAAATAAAGTAAAAATGATAACTATCAGTTGGCTTTATTTTCACTAAGACATAAAAGTTACTTTAAACCCTATCTCAGCTGTTGTTCTGTTGTTTTAAACATTTCTCATAAAATTAAGTGGAAGCCCACTAAACCCTGAAAGGGAAATTGTGTGCTCAGGTCCTGAAAAGTGTTTATGTCTATTTCTTGAGATGCACATTTTCCCTGCTGGTTACATAAAGTCGAGCCGGGAACACAGCTGTGCACCGTGTGTGTCTGCCGGCTTCACGGGCTGCTCACTGTCATTTTCATTTTCTTGTGTTACAGTGTATGAAGGTTTTCCATCCAACTGTTTGCTCAGCCTTTTCCTGAATGAAGGATTGAATTTTCCAGAGGAAATCTTATGAAAGAGAGTGAAAAGGCACATGCGTTTCCCAAAAAGGAATAGTTGATGTAATAAACTCTCACTATGGTGAACTTTTTTAATTCAAGCGGGTTGAAAATTTTTTCACTAGGTCATATGCCACAAATCTGTCTTAAGAATAAAAAGAGTCAGATTTTATACAAGAAGCAGTTTGAATCAAGTAGAAATTATGATTTGTACACTATTTGTTGTTAGAACTTATACTCAGTCTTATCATAATTGCCTGTGGTAGGAACTGGATCATTATTTATTTATTAAAAAAAATCCACTAAGTGCTATTTGCCCCATTCTTGATGCAGCAGTGCTGAGGTTAGTTAAGTTGGGCCATTTAGGATTATTAGCTAGGTTTTCCGGACATTGATTTCAGCCTCTTTCTCTTTTCTACAATCTCATCTTTTGTGTCGGCCTTTGGTCTTTTGACAATGTGGATATATGGCACGGATCTGCCTTTCCCTTTTTTCCTGTCTTTGTGGGAAAAGATATCTTTAAGACAAACTACTAGGATATTAAGGATTTTGTGTGGGGTAAGTTTGGTCATTTCTAAGGATTTCAATTAATACATATTAATACTTGCTATTCAGCTAATGACAGTAAAATTAGAAGCTAACTTAAGTATACATCAATAAGTATAGTACAATAAGCCCATCACCCAGATTAAGGAATTCACGAACTTTTCCATATTTCCTTTATTCAGACCTTTGTTCTTTTCCTTGTCCTTTGTTGAAGTATTTGGCAGCAAATCCCAGAAGACATGTCATTTTACCCTATGTACTCAAGTAGGCATTTCTGAAAAATGAGGGCCTTTTCTTTGATCAGGTTTTTCCATTTGACCCATGTGCTCGTTAAGGACCAGCTGTATCAGGCATCTCACTAGGCATTAGGGATCCTTGGGGCAATGAGACTGTCCTGGCTCCCAAGGAATTTAAGGGTTGATGGAAGAAACCAACACAGGAGCTTGGGTGCCTCACTTAAGGTCCCTGCTGGATGACACCAATTGGACAAAATTTGGGCACAATACAGTAGGATTCACAGAAGGCACTGGTCAGACTTGTAGGGCAGGCCATGAGAGAGGCGGTCAGCAGGGCTACAAGAGGAGGAATCATTTGATCAGAATCTGAAATCCTTTCTGCCAACCTTCCTACCAAGCCCCAAGGGCCCATCACACACAACCCTGTGCTCTAACTGTTTTTGATTCCAGTTACCACATCTCCCTCAGGAAGGATTTTAATGTGGAAAATATTTAAAATCCATAATTGTTGCCAGAAGGGACATAGAAAAAGGAACATGTAAACAACACAAATGTCCATCAGCACATGACCGGATAAAGATGAGGTGATACATATACACAATGGAACACTATTCAGTCATAAAAATACCATTTGCAGCAACATGGATGGACCTGAAGACTGTCATTCTACGTGAAGTGGGGTGGAAAGAGAAAGAAAAATGCCATATGACTTCATTTATGGGGAATCTAAAATTAATACCAATAATAATAAGACCACAAATGATCTAAATATTATTTTGATTTCTTGAATATATGTAAGCACATCTGACTGTCCTTTGTGATTGGATTACCATATTCTGTTTATTACTCTTTTGTAGATGTCCTTATTCCTCTGGTAACTGTAATTTTAAAAATCTAAAGCCCTAATCTGTTCTTAGAAACAATAATTAGTACATATATGTAAACTAAAAAATTCAGTATACTCTATACATGTATTTGCATGCAATATTTGTATGTGTAGTTGAACTGTAATAATTCTACCTAATAAAACTGAAAAAGGAAAAAAGTAAAAAATTTATTTTAAAAAATCACCCCTCTTTAGATATTAAAACATTCATTTCTGAGATTCTGTGAAAGACAGCATTGAAGTAGGTTTTTTAGATTTTCTCCTTGCTCCTCAGTGAGTAGCCTGGGCTGCACAGCTTGGCAGCCACAGGCACCCAGGACTTGCCAGCTTACTCCTCACTTGTTAGGAGGAAGATTAGCTGCTTCAGGAATATTTATGCTCTTAGAAGTTGCTGAAAATCCCATAGAGCTTCTGTTTACATGGAGAGTATCTGCCAATATACCCCATTTAAGAAATTAGAACAGAAAATTTAAACCCAGGAACTGGCAAGCATACACTGTCCCAGCACATGGTCAAAGCAGTGCTGCCACGGTGTCGTGTGTTGGTTCTAGAAAAAATGCACCATACACACAAGAATGAGGGTGAACCCACAGATCTCATCTCTGCAATGCTATGAAGAGGTGGGAACCAAAGCCCCCAAAACAGTGCTTAAGTCCCCAGATGTCCCAGAACACACAAAGCCATGGGACCAAGAATCCAGTGCCTCATGGATCATCAGCCATGGAGACCGCATCCTGGGTCAGGAGGAGCAGAAGTAGGGATATCAGGCACACAGTCCAATTGACAGCAAAGCTTTAAATGTTTTGAATTGACTGAAAATTTGGCAAAGATTTGCATTTAGACTTCTACATTTCCTCTCCTGCAGACGTTAGAAAGTAACACTGATTAATAGAGGATGATTGTAATGGAATAATTATGATACTGATGACATGGGCTGCAAACACTAACCCTACACTCAGTGTAGACTAGCCTTTTATGTACAAACTTCATTAGGTCTCCACACCCCTGCAAGTTAGCATTAAGCACACATACAACCATGAAACCAGTGACTATAAAGCAGTCACAAGCCTTTCTCTCCAGCATGAGGTAGCAAAACCAGCAAGGATTTTCGATGACAAAAGCCAAAATCATATATATTTGGGAAAGAAAGCAAATGAAACACTGAAGAACAATAAACAAAAAGAGCAGATGGAAAGGAAAATTTTATTGAAGAAAGCAATGATTGATTCAATTAAAACAGCTAATGTCCCTGGTATAATTGAGCCATCAATCCAAATTTTTGGAAAAGTGGGTTGTGAAATTACTGTCTCATTTAATATTGGAATTCCTATTTGGACAAATTTGATATGCATCACTGGTGAGAGG